GAATGTAATTGTAAAATCTAAACAGGTTGGTTGAGTGACGAAACAAGAAATTAAAAATGTGACATTAGGGGCCTATTTGAATGAATTTAGCATATGAGGATTAAAATGCAAATAAAATATTATTGGGGGACTAAAATTGTTATTTTGCAATAAAAAAAATTCATTAAATTGTATTAAATCTACTAAGGAAATAATAATTTATGTTTTTTTTCTAGAAATGTTAATTTTATAATGCTGATTTTTATCTATAAGAAATTATGAATTTCTACATTTCACAAATTATGGATTATATTAGTTTAAAAAAAAAAACCTTTTATTCTTGTGATACTTAAGTGTTCTCGTTGCCAAATTTACTTATAATGGAATTTTTTTATTTGTGGCAAATTTTTTGTTAGTCACAAATATTTACTTAATTTATAGTGACTAATATTGTTGTTAGTAATTTATTTATTTTTTGAAGTTCAATTGTGAATTAATTGTGACAAAAAATTTTGTTACATCTTGTAATTTTCTTTAGTAACAACTTGTATATAGTCACAAAATATATTTGTTATAAATCATAATTTTAGTCACAAGAAAAATATAGTATTTGTGACATAAATTTATTGTTTGTAACTAGTATTTTACAAGTAACTAATAGTTATTTTATTGTAACAATTTTAGTAGTCACAAATTTAAATAGTTTATTGTGACAAATTTTTTGTAACTGAATATAATTTATGTGTCGAAATTGTATATTATAATTTTAAAAATTAATATTAGTGATTATTACTTTAAATTAGTCACTAATATAACAAATATTAGTGACCAATTGCAAATTAGTCATCATTTTCAGTTACAAAAAACTCATTTTCTTGTAGTGAGTAGTAATTATTTGACAGCAGGAAAACTAAGGTGACCAAATTGGACACCAATAGAGAAATCGAAAATTGAAGATCTAGAAAGATAGCGTACTTGTAGCAGGTTTAGCAGAAGGAATTAAAGCACGTTGGACACTGATGATCAAATTATGCGAGGCAAATTAGATGACGCAGCAGATCTGCAAAATTGCAACCGCAAGCCTGATGCCTGCTGTTGAGAGGGGTTGATGGATATTTCCTGGAAGAAAAGGATACGATTCAAATATGATCACTTGGAGACATGCCTATATATACTCTTAAGTACAAAGAAAAGAGAGAGACTTTACGAGATTAATCAAGTAGCTTGTGTAACATCCCCTTTTTGATAAACCTCCTGGTTTACCAAGTAGGGAAATGTATTCTTCAAGATAAAAAAAAAAAATAGAAATTATTTATAAAAAAATATTGCAGCGAAAATAAAAACTCTTTTTATATAAAACGTTTTCTTTTAAAGAAAATCTGTTTTCAAAACAATTTAAAATTTTATAAAAGGAAAATCCTTGATTTGCAAAGGAAAACTATTTAAATGAAAAATATCTTTAAAAAAATCAAAATGCTCAAAGTTATAAAATAAGTCAGGTTATGTCCATTTAAATTAATCTTAATGTCGTATACATAAAAATAACTTATACAAAAAAATACATGAAAGCAATTGCTTTTCAAAATACTTTCTAAAATAATAAAAGCAAAATTATCATTTTAGTAATACATTAATCCGCCTTCACATCAAAAACACTGAGGTTAGTATACGAGATTTATACCAAGAGCTCTCAAGCTGAGTAGCCGCTACTCCAGTTGTCTAATTTGAAATGGGGGGAGAAATTTATGAGTTAAAAGCCTAGTAAATAGTAAGTTTAAGCTATAAACTTAGGTCCTAAGACCCATAAACCTATATACACAGAGCACAAAAGACAATTAAACCGAATTACATAATATTATAAATCTCAATGTTTAAATAACAATTTAATAGTACAAATTAACTCACAAATAATCAATCATGTCAAGGAATAACCAATGACATTTATATCAAATTCATATCGTAAAACCATGTGCTCATAAATGTGATGTCACAAGCATAATGCACAAAACCGAAAATCATACAATGCTATGGAGTTCACT